CTGTTCCACTGTCTGAATGAACTGAATGATGGTTCTCTAGTGGAGGACATCCAACAGTCCCTGAGTTCAGGACGTCTCACCACAGATGAACTGTCTCCTGCTCAGTGGTCAGCTCTGGTCTTCATCTTACTGTCATCAGAAAAAGATCTGGACATGTTTGACCTGAAGAAATACTCTGCTTCAGAGGAGGCTCTTCTGAGGCTGCTGCCAGTGGTCAAAGCCTCCAGCAAAGCTCTGTAAGTACAGAGAGAGTTAGATTCATATATCATAACTTAAATACCCTGTTATCGTTTCTACTTATTGCTCATTTTTTCTTCATCATTGTCTCTTCAGACTGAGTGGCTGTAACCTCTCAGAGAGAAGCTGTGAAGCTCTGTCCTCAGTTCTCAGCTCCCAGTCCTCTAGTCTGAGCGAGCTGGACCTGAGTAACAACGACCTGCAGGATTCAGGAGTGAAGCTTCTGTCTGCTGGACTAGAGAGTCCACACTGTGGACTGGAAACTCTCAGGTAAGATCAAGTTATTTTGTTTGAAATGATTTAAATGTTTCTCTACACTATCAGCTCCATGCAGTGTAAACAGCCTCTCTATTTCTCAATCTTTGAATTTGTTCATCAGGATTTCAGATTTCAAGAACCCCTTTTTCACCAGGAAATTAACCAGAACTATGGAACCAGGGGAAATAATCTCAGAGCCTAAACTAGGGTCCAAAAGTCCTCTTTTGAATTTCCGTTTGTGTTTCCATCACATCATAAGAACTTTACAATAAATCACCTCTGGCCAAATCAATCACACAACTTTAACACTGTTTCACCGTTATACTGTTGTTGTTGTTGTTGTTGTTGTTTGTTTGTTTGCTAAATCTTTGCACAATTGTTCAGTTAGTTACTTTAACATTATTCTATTTTATTGAATATATTGTGTACTTTTTAAAAATGTTATTTGTATTGCTTTTCTTTTTATCTGTACCTATAAATGCTGCTGTAGCAAAAACAAAAATTCCCCTTGCGAGATTAATGAAGTACCTATCTAATCTAATCTAATCTAATATAAATCTTGTAGAACAGATAAATTTGATCCAAAGTGGATTAAAAAACGCTGACAGAGTTTGAAACACAGTTTTCATTCACAGTAAAACATCACAGGGTCATCCTGTTGTTCCTCTTATTTGTGCTTTGTGATGTTATGTTTGATATAATTAATGAATGAAAAGGAGAAAAGCAGAGGTGGAAAAGAGACTGAAAACTTGAATGTCTGACTCTACAGTGACGATCTGCTGAGAGTTTGATGGTTATTTATTTCTACTTTAGAACGTAACTCGCATGAAATCAGAATATGAAGTTTAATTTCTCTTTTTCCTTCACTTTGTTCTCTCTCTCTCTCAAATGAGTCTTGAAGGCGACAGAAAAGCCTAACTTTGTATTTAACACGAATGAAAAACATTAAATATCTAACCCTCATCCTGATGTTGATAGTACTACAGTAGAGAACAATTAACTGAATCTTTTATCGTGTTTAGAGTAGAACAGCAAGAGTTTTATCCACTTTCACTGAACAAAATATCTTTGTTCTTTCTGATTGTACTTTAGTCCAGACTCATTATCAAAGAGGATTTCTTTTTAACACAAATGTTATTTTTCTTCATGTTGATTGTTGTCTCTTCAGACTGAGTGACTGTCACCTTTCAGAGAGAAGCTGTGAAGATCTTTCCTCAGTTCTCAGCTCTCAGTCCTCTAGTCTGAGAGAGCTGGACCTGAGTAACAATGACCTGCAGGATTCAGGAGTGAAGCTGCTGTCTGCTGGACTGGAGAGTCCACACTGGACACTGGGAACTCTCAGGTCAGATCAAGTTATTTTGTCTTCAATGATTTAAATGTCTCTAAACTACCAGCTCCATGCAATGTAAATAGCCTCTCTCTTTCTGAATATTCAAATTTTTTCATCAGGATTTCAGATTTCATGAACCCCTTTTTCACCAGGAAATTAACCAGAAATATGGAACCAGAGGAACTAATCTCAGAGACTAAACTAGGGTCCACAAGTAATTTTTGTGAATTGCTGTTTGTGTTTCCACTCTATTGTAAGAACCTTGTAGAACAGAAAAATGTGATCCACAGTGGATTAAATAACAATGGTGGTGTTTGAAACCGTTTACATTCACAATAAAAAGAGAAAGAAAGAGAGCGAAAGTTATCTTTCTCTCTCTTTCTTTCATTTCAAATAGTTGGACATTTTGATGCTCGTCATCTGCCACCAGTGTGTGTTGCCTGATGTGGTTGATTTTCGATGTCGATGCTCAGCTTCATTGACTTCATGACTTTTGTTATAACTCTAATGGCTGGCTCAATAACTGTTATCTATTTGACTCATGGTGAGACACCACAGGACCTCACTATTAGGAACTCAGTGATGAACACCCACAGAACACAAGAAAGATTGGATTTTCTTCAGTTCACCCAGGTATATTTGCATCACACAGAGTACAAGTACACCGAGCTGTCCAGAAATTATTGTAAAAAGACAAACAGACAAAGAAACAATCTGTTTAAACCGTCTTGATAAATCATCACAATAGGAATGTTTTGCTGTTTTAAAGGAGTTCAGCTTTACCTGGTTTTGGTTTGTTTTGCACTGAGAGCCAGTTCCCTGGATGATAAGAGTCGACTTGTTGAAACTACAGCTGACAGTCGGCCACAGACGCTCAGTGAAGAACCAACAGCTGATTGTGGACATGGTGTGTCAGAGCCCAAAGAGGTTTATTTAGGACTGGACCAAAGTTATAGGGGGACACAGGTAGTGCTCTGTGGCTGCAGACGGACTTGAACTGTAATGTTTTCACCCCCAGATTACAGATAATAGAAACCAGTGTTGACTGTTGCTAGGAGACGGGATGTGAACAGTAGTGTCAAAGTCAGACACTTTGTACATCCAACCATCCACCCCGACCTCCTCCATCAGAGGGTTTGTGGTGTTGTAGTGATTTCAGGCTACTTTCTCCTTTACTTCCTTTACTACCACTGTTCACTACCTGCTCAGCAGCAAACAGCAGACAGACTCAGTTAGAGACTAGCTGGTGAACATAGTGGAGCATTTAGCAGCTACAGAGACAGATATTTCCCTCAGAAGGTGGTGGAGACCTGAAAGAGAGAGAATATTGGACTTCCATTCATCAGGTGACACAAGCACAAAGACTCCTGATGAATCATCATGTTGATGTGTAACTGTTGGATGTGGAAGCAGCTAGTTGATATCATGTTAGACACAACTACTTTCTTTCAATCATTTTATTTTCAGTTTATATAGGCTACACACCACATGTTACCCCCAAAAAGAACAGCACATAAGATAACATACCTGCTAACTATACCAACAATCAGACTAAGACACACAAAAAAAAATCGAGATACAAGAAACCAAAACAAACATAAATCATCACCCTCCATATTGACCCTGCAATAACAATTCAATGTTAATTGCGGCTAACTATACAGACAGTCAAACTCAGCAACAAACCATGTTTTTTTTTTAAATATCTGAGAAAACAGCACAGTTGTAGATCATCATCCTCCATATTATACCTGTCACAACAATTAAATAATATTAAATATTGTGGACTCTTCCCTTCACCAGCTCACTTGGATCCCACGTTGCAAAACCTATTCGT